AAAAAAAAAAAAAAAAAAAAAAAAAAAAAAAAAAAAAAAAAAAAAAAAAGCCATCAAATCATAGAACTTTAGTTTACAAGGGGTTGGGAAACTAGGTGGAAAGTAAAGACCATGTATTTAAAGATAATATTGGCCTTTCGTTTTCTACTTTATAAAAATTATTCTCATACACGTACTAATATCTTAAATCTACATGCATAATCGCTTTATAATCATAGTTGAATTTTGAAAAACTAGCTTTCTGATTTTAAAATTAAAACAAAAATAGTCTTGAATAGAAATTATAGAGTTAGTTTTCAGAATTAAAAATCAAAAAAGAAAAATCGAAGAGACTTGCATCTATTTAACAGACAATTTTACCAACCTATCACGCTCTCAATTTTTTTAAAAAATATTTTAGAATTACCCTATTTAAAAACCATTATTAAAATGTATCAAATATCAAATTGATGTCTCGTTTTGCAAAAGATTCTTTATTGGCGTACCTGAAGAACCTCAAGAACTGATTGTCGTTCCTTTCATTGATTGTTACAGAAACAATTTGTTGTGCTTAAGCCAGCCAGCCTTTAAGTTGTCAACGTCGCTAAGCTGAATACATACTTCAAGCAAAATGTTTAATTTTCAAACCACTATGAGGAAGCAAATGGAACTCAATAATAAGAGGATCCGTTCCACAGTTGTTAAAACTTACCCGTAAATTGAAAACCAACTCTAGAATCCTTGATGAAAGGTCAGCACCTGAAGGTTGCTTGTCCATTTAAGACAAGAAAAAAATATTTGAGTCGTTTGTCACGATACTCGCAGCTTACAATATATATTGAATCCGATGAATTATCTACAAATGTTCACTGTAAGGGATTACCTCTAAAAGGACTCAGTAGTTTCCAGCGAAGGATTCACCAACTTTTCAATTTGAACCACGTTGAATACCATGAATTTTTCGGTTTCAAGAATAGAGAAAGTATTTCTCAACTTGATTTAACAGAAAGCTGCCTGAGTTTCATGCAGGAAAATGTCTAGCTCCGCCCCTAGGGCTATCGACCACTATCCAACAATTTCAGTAACATTATCTTCTCCAATCATTCGATGATTGATGGGTGATAATGGATAATCTATTCTTAAAAGTGAGCAACGAGCCGCGTATTGAAACACAACCAGCATATGTGGCTTTTCCATAAATGGCTAGAAACAAAGTAAACAAATAACAGCGCACAAGTATTCTACCTAAAATTATGATCTGGATAAATTCATGGCATTTAAAAGAAACGGCAGTAATTATTCATAAAACTAATTGTCAATTAGTTTTTATGAATATGATTTGACCCTACAAGTATGATATTTAGCACAATTGCTAACCTTGGAGTAACTATCCTCTAGCTGGATTGACCTTGCCAGTGTAATGTAAATCTGCCCTCTGAATCCTCCCGTCAACAATGGTCAACCCACCATCAACAATGATAAATCGCAATAGATTACCTGAAGACAAACCCTAACTGAAAATTCAAGAAATTCTGGTATTTACTTGCTGACAAAGAAGGAACCTCAAATGTTGGTAATAAATAACAACAGAAAATCTGCATGCATGAAACTCGTGGCATTGACCAAATGGGCTATTGAAGTGAGTTAAACAAAAATCTCCTCCCAGAACCCCTCCCATACTCGTCTACACCCTCTTGATCCTTCCCAACAGTATGTCTCATGAGATACCAAATAAACAAGTTAACCATAAAAGTCTAGTCAAAGAAGAGGCCGCAAAATGTCTTCAACATAGAATGATAAGCCTGACTCCGAGGACCATAACCACTACAAACATCCGTAAGAATCTAAACCAAAGGATAAAAAGAGAGTAGAGTGACCAAGGGTTATCATAGCAGGGGAGCCAAATAAGTGAAAAGAAATGAAGTAATTGAGAAGGGATGTATGTAACAGAAAGGGAGACCAAAATATGAGATGCAAAGAGAGAGAGAGAGAGGTGCCAATATCAAGCAACAGTTTCTTCAGCTAACACAATCCCCAATAACAACATTAAAACTAAGATATGGTGACATAGGTACCATGCCAAATTACACAACAAACCAACAAGGACAGAAAGAAGACATAATAACCACAGACCTCATTGCAAGCAGAAATGTAGTCGAAGGAAGCAACATGTAATAAACAAAAGAATTTTAAAACTAATGAACCATAGAAAGGGTTAAATTTGGATCAACAAAACCTTTTCGATCAAGTCACCATCTAAGCAACCAATGTCCACAGAAGGATCATCAAATGTAGCACCCTTTCCATCACCTTGTAGCTCCAAAACCAGCTGATCATTCAAATAAGGCAGTATTAGCATTATAAACTGCATGAGAGAGAGAGAGAGAGAACAGATCCATGTCGTATCACAAAAATGGATCATTGACCACTGCAATTGACTAGAAACTAAGATAGTGGCAACATTATTTATAAAAAGGAAAAAGAAAGGAAGAAAATAATTGCAGACATTCATATAGTTTTTTTTTTTTTTTTTTAATAACAAGAAATGCAGAGATAAAGTACCTGCTGCTGGCTTGGAACTTGTCCATTTTATCTGTGTCAATAACATATCGACTGCAATTCTCATCCTTCCAGACCAATGCAAGTGGTGTATCTGGCTGGTAATGGGAATGCCTAGAACAAAGACAACTTCTTAATACGCGATGGATGAAGTTATACCTTGTAAGCATAGAAACAGATTCATAAAATGAAAGAAATAACTTAACAAGAAGAACAGAGCATAGCAATTATCAAGCATAAGCATCATAACATTATAAATTGAAAATTGTTAAATATGTAATTCTACATGTACATAAGGAGTGTTCCACAGGTTCCAAAATATTCCAATACAAGATAACAGAGGTTATCAACTAAATGAAAATTTATACATAAAGAAAATAAAATTAAAACCTCATTTAAAAGGAGATGGAGAACTCGCAATGTATTAAATCATTGCTTGATGATAAATCTTACTTGTAAAATAATAGATCATCCTTGACAAAAGGTACGGCTCCTGTATAAGCCACATAGAGACTATTTTGATGGCATGTATACAAAGGTATCAAGCTGAATTTATATTCGTGATAGTATGAAGGTGGCTCACAAGCACCAGTTTCAACAAGCTTGGAATTGAGCCAGAAGAAGCGAAACTCAGCTGTGTAATCATAAAGAGAAATCCACGTCAACAAATCATATCAATGACGTAGTACATTTGTCCATCTACAGGACATTCAAACCTTTACTAATAAATAAAAAAAACGTGGACTATGAATGGCATAGGAATTACGAGAAACTTACCTCCTGAAATATACAATTTAGAATACAATATGTTTGACCGGATCCAGAGGCATTTTTTTGTCTTTGCTCCGTTAGGTAGAGCAGAAGGAAACCGATGCAGAATTGATCCATTTCGTAGCCTGCTGATGAAACTACAAAGCATCATTTACCGGAAGGCCTTGCAAGTACGTATCTACAAACATCCAAAGCACAACAGAAACGTCAACCTCAGCTTCGATCATTCGAATCAAATTCATTGAGAAATTAACATTCTCTCTTTTTCCTTTTCATTGTCTGAATCCTTGTTGATGTAAGAATCAGACATTTGTGCAACCAGAAAGCTTTATCTATGGTGTGGAGGATCAAACACTCAAACAAACAAACAAAAATGAGCAATCAAAATTAAGCTCGGTATACAAATTGGCCTAGCACCGGAAGTGAGTGAGAATGAAACAACCGGAGCCGCGATGATCAGATTTGAATTTGAATGCGAACATGCAATTTGGAGCAAAAAACAGTGCTCATAAAACCAATACCAAAGCCGCGATGATCAAATGAGGCATCGAGTAAATAGTAACAAGATCCAAGCCGAAGTAGTAGTTGAAGAAAACATAAGCGTAAATAGATAACTTAATATTAGTAACAGAGAGATGAGAAGGAATTATAACCTGTCTTCGCTAAGCCGATCAGGAACATCTATCATCCATTCAGGAAGCAACAGTTGCTTCGATAACCACTTACGAGCCTCTGAACCTTTGAGCTTCAAAGCCTGGAGCACATCGAGATCTATCAGAGCAGGCTCGTTAAACTCATCCTGCGGTAGTAGCTCAGGAAATCATTCTGTTTCGGATTCGAGTTCGTTTAGTTCAATTTCCAGCACCGGCTCAGAGGTAATAGGCTCGTTAAATGTGGATGAAAGGGAGAGGAGCGTGGAGGCTAAGGAGCGGGCTTGTTGCTGAGCGTCGCGGCACTTCTGCAGTTGCTGTTGCAAAGAAAGTTCCCGCCGGTTTTAATGTTTCGGAGATGGCTGGCCGTCTGTGCGGACAGCGAATGCGCGGTGCCATCTTTGCGCTAAAACTCAATTATCGAAATGAAGGCAGTATCCAGTTCGGCTGAGTTGATATCGTATATTAACCGCCCGGGAAGAAATTCCATAATTGAAATTATTTAATATAATATTGGGCTCTCAACATTATGGGCCTTTGGGCCCAATTCCAGATGAGCGGTAGTTTACGACTCCCAGCAGAGTTAAAAAGGAGCTATATTTCTCGTAAAAAAACAGTAAAATTTGAAAATAATTCATTTTTCAATAAGCACATTTAAAAAATATAATAATTTATTTATTTCATCTTTTACATGTAATAAAGATGATAAAATTGATCCAAATTAATATAGATAGAAAACAATTGTCCACATCAAATCCTAATCAATCTCACTATATTTAGAAGTAAAGTTTATTTTTCTTTTTCATTTGTCTAATTTGTATTTATTATAAAATATGATATTCAAATTAACACGTTTTATTTATTTAGCCTGTAATGCTTTAGAATGAAAAATTAAGGTCTAATTTGTTGATTAAAACTTTATTTTTAGTTTCATATTCTTAAAATTTATGTGTTCTCTTACATTTAATTTTACTATTCTTTTTTTAAAAAATAGCTTGATTTTTTAAAAGAATTATAAATACAGTTAACAAAACAAAGAAACAACTACGTGAAAGAATTATCAGCTTAATTTTTAAAACTAAAAACCAAAAAACATTCAATTTATATTTTTAGTTTTTTAATCCTTTTTTTTTTTCTACCAGTATTTTAAAAATTAAAGTTAAATTAGAAAACCATAATTTTTAGGTAGCACATGGAACGTCAATAGATAAGAGCAATAGCAACTACCGGGGATAAAGTATTATTTTGATATTATTTAATGGGAGAAAAACGGGGGGAGGGAGGGAGGGAGGGGGAGAGAGAGGTACAAAAATGGAAGACATGCAGGGTTTTTACTTGGAAAGCAAACGCAAGCACAGAAAAGAGGAGCCCCAAAAGGAAGATGCTTTGTCTCAATCCGCTGTTTAGTATTTATGACTCCCAAACCTTCATTTTCCCAAATTCCAACCCCCACCATTCTACCCTCCTTCCTCCTCCGTTTCCGCCCCTTCTTCCTACTCTCTACAAAATTCCCTCCCAATGTCTTCTCGTCTTCTTCCCCGCTTCCCCACACCGGGCCTTCCACGCTTCATAGCTTTTTGCTACTGAATCCCTCCTCCCTTCTCGCTTCCTCTCCAGCGAATATTCCCTAAAATGGCCGCCACCAACACCAATGTCGCCACCGGCGTCGACGACCGCGTCTTGGCCACCGCGCAGCAGATCGTCAAGAGCCTCAATACCCCTAAAGAGGTTCGTGAGGACATGCTCTTGATTCTCTCCAATTTCGATAATCGCCTTTCCAGTATCGGTAGCATGATCAACAGTGACAACACCTCCAACATCGAGAACGATAGGTTGGACGCCGCCGAGAAGGTGATTCTACGTTGGGATCCTAATTCAGATGTACCGAGACCGTCGCTTAATTGGGAGGACTCGCCGGACGAGGCGGCTGAATATTTATCTGCGGTGGATGATATACTCCGGCTAGTTGAAGACCTGTCAATTGGGTCCGAGTCGATCAAGATCGTTGGCCGGGCGGAAAACGCGATCCAAATGGCGATGTGTCGGCTCGAGAGCGAATTTCGTCATATCCTGATCCAGAGCACAGTTCCTCTCGACGCCGATCGGCTCTACGGCTCGATCCGAAGAGTTCACCTCTCATTTGCGTCCCATTACAGTGAAATTGACGACGAATTCGAGAGTTTCGGCGAGGAAAGTCGCAATTCCGGGCGATTCCATGAGCGAGGTGCGACAATTGGAGAAGATTCGTGGGTCGATTTGATCCATCCCGATGCGGCTGTTGATCTCTCGGAAATTGCGGACCGTATGATTCGCTCTGGCTACGAAAAGGAGTGTGTTCAAGTCTACAGCACCGTTCGTCGCGATGCTTTGGACGAGTGTTTGGCAATTCTTGGCGTCGAACGGCTCAGCATTGAGGAGGTTCAGAAAAGTGACTGGAAATTTCTAGACGAGAAGATGAAGAAATGGATCCAGGCCGTCAAAATTACTGTCCGGTTGATTTTGGTCGGTGAGAAGAGGCTGTGTGACCAGATTTTTAATGGCGCCAATGAATCCCAGGAGATTTGTTTTAACGAAACAGCAAAAGGGTGTGTAATGCAGCTGCTAAATTTCGGTGAGGCAGTGGCTATTGGGAAGAGGTCACCGGAGAAGCTGTTCCGAATCTTGGATATGTATGACGCTCTGGCTGGCGTTTTGCCACACTTGGAAGCCATGGTTTCCGATGAGTTTCTGATCAGTGAAGTACACGGAGTATTGTCTGGACTGGGAGAAGCAGCCACGGGAACTTTTGTGGAGTTTGAGAATGCTATTCTTAGCGAAAATTCAAAGAAAGCAATGCAAAATGCCGATATTCACCCGCTCATTCGATATGTAATGAATTACGTTAGGCTGCTGGTTGATTACAGTAAGACAATGAACTCTCTTTTAGAAGATGAGGAAGAACAAGACATGCCAAATGAGAAAGATAACGATGATATACTGCAGTTGGAAAGCAAGTCGCCTTTGGCTCGTCGATTGTTCATGTTGTTATCGTCTCTGGAGTCCAATCTTGTGGAAAAATCTAAATTTTATGAGGATGTTTCTATGCAGTTCATATTCCTAATGAACAATATACTGTACATAGTGAAAAAGGTGAAAGATTCTGAGCTTGCCCAGCTGCTTGGCGATAACTGGCTTCGCAGGCGTAGCGGCCAAATTCGCCAATATGAAACTAGTTACCTTAGAGCCTCTTGGAGCAAAGTCTTGTCTTGCTTAAAGGATGAAGGCATTGGTGGGAGCCCAAGCAACGCCTCCAAGGTAGCTTTGAAGGAGAAGTTCAAGAATTTCAATGCAAGTTTTGAGGAAATCTGCAGGGTTCAAACAGCTTGGAAGGTGTCGGATACTCAACTGCGCGATGAGCTGATCATATCGGTTTCGGAGAAGGTGATTCCTGCGTACCGCTCCTTCTTAGGAAGGTTTAGAAATCAGTTAGAGAGCGGAAGGCATTCTGGGAAGTACATAAAGTACACGCCAGAGGATTTAGAGAACTCTCTATCAGATTTGTTTGAAGGATCACTTGCTGTATCACATCACTTGCGAAGAAAGAGTACTTGAAACAAATCTAGACTTGAAACTGTTTGATGGTGAGCTGTTGATCTTTTTTTCTTTTCTTCTTTCTATTTTGCTAATGTTATAGAACACATGAGATTGGGAAGCTTATGATCGTACTTACTTTTGTTCATACACTGTATAATACATTACCATTGTTGTATACATTAGATTGTGTATCTTTATTTGAGGTCAAGTAATATTGTGGACATAACTCCAAACCCCCCGGACCCGACCTCGGCTAGTCGAAGTCTTATTAGTCTATTACGAAGAAGCAAGAGTCAAATCTATAGTAATGCAATACTTCTGTTGTCATTTTTCTACCCATGATATGGAGCACCTTGGCCCATAAATTGGCAGGAAACTTCAATGATTCTTCGTTGCAAACGATCGGGTTGTTGAATTATTATTTGATCGTGGCTTTGCCACAAGATTGTACGATGTAGCAACATGTATTAGATAGATTCAACCATCATATTGTCTGTGTCTAAACTCCATAGTAATTTCCTCGTTTCTTCGTCGTCCGAAAATCAGTAAAAAACTGATAAACAAACTGATTTTTGCATTTTCAGGGACTTGATAGAAGTTGAGATAAAAAGTAGAAGGTATTATGCTCGAGTGAGGGTGTGACATTTTCTTAGCCGCATGTGGCGACTGGCCGTGAGTTACGTTCTCCAGGGGAAGCTCAGCCATTTAGTTATTTGGGTGTTTTGCTTGAGGGGCAGAGATCCTTCATATCGCTTGTGCTGGGCCTCTGATTTCACCCAACAACCGCCAGAATTCCCCACTCCCATTTAAGTTTGGGGAACAAGTGAGTGCATTCAGTTACACACAGCTAGCCAATATGGCAATTCATTTGGTCAGACGAAGCCATCAGCTCAATTATTATTCAATGACAGCTTTTCCATCCCATCCTTTGATTTTCAATGCTCTATTACCTCAAAGTTGTTGACATTAAAAACTTGTTACATAATTTTACTCTTCATTTCAAACACTTGAAGGAAAAGCACTCGTTTCCCCTTTGGTTCTTCCAGAAAATGTAAGGAAAAAGAGGGGGAAAACCACAAGAGAACTAACTACAGGTTATAAGTTGCCTATGTTTACAATCTGCACGTTCAATCGGTTTCGACAAACCATCGAAGAGGACAGCAACAAACACACCCAACAGAAAACTAAATGAAGAGGGCCAAACTGTTTATCCTAACTATAGTGCCCACTACATTATGCTGATGCTAGCTAGCATCTCACTCTCAAACCCGACTATTCTCAGGCAATGGTAGAACACCGTCGAAGAAATCGCCAAAGTAACCGCGAGGTTCATGGACTAACCTCGAGATGATATCTCTGAGGGTGACAACTCCTTCCAGATTGCCATTGTCGTCGACTACATACACACGGTGGATCTTCTTCGAGTCGAGCATCAAAATCAAATCCTTTACAGAGTGATCCTTCTTGCACGCAATCATGTCGCTCAGCATAGGAGAGAACGCTTCATGCTTCTCTAAGTAGCTTCTAACCGCAGTCAGAAAGTTCCTGGCCGTTATCGATCTGTCAGAATGAAACAAGAGACCGTGTTAATAGATGTTTCGATTATTTCGTAACAAAATGGAATACTTTGCCTGCCATTCAACAAAGATTTTGATGGAAAACCTGTAATCGTGGTAGATTTCTGGTGCAGTGAGCAAGAAATGAATATCTCTTAAACTAATGTTGCCTACAGCCTTGCTCCCACCCTTTTCAATAACAGGTATACCTCCAACCTTCTTCTTCCTCATAAGTTTGAATGCTTGAAGAACAGGCTCGTCCTCGTACACCTTGACAATAGAAGCCGGCGACATCATCGGAAGACCGAGCTCCGAGAGCGTCTTTGTTCCCCAACTTTCGAACCACTGAAGCCCTGCACATTCTGCTAACATGTGAATCACAGCTGATTGTGTAATGATGTTCTCAATCTTTCCCTCCCCCAAGTCCACCACTGGTATGCTTTTCATTTTGTACTTTGATAGCAGTAACAGCATTGTCAAGAAGGAATTCGACGTCTGCAACGCAAGAAATGGCGCCCAACGGAAAGATCCCGAGATATCTCGCACCTGTACATTTATAAGATTTGATGAACACCATGCCAATCCACATTCATCACCTACATAATCTTTAGAACGAGACCAAACCTGTGTGCTCTTGTACAATTCAGAGGAAGTTAACGACTCGAAAAAGCTTCCCGACGTCACTGCAGCGGATTCAGGGCCGAGTACCTGCTGTTCTAAAGGAGATATCACCCCATTTCTTGCCGCCGCCACAGCACTTCCATCACTAGGACTTCTCGGGGATGGAGGTTCCGACTGCAACACAAATCGTGTTAACATGAAGAATCAAACACAAACGAATTCATAGAAGCTCAAATTCAACTAACCTGATAAAGAATCCAAACGGCAATTCCAGCAAACTCAACGACTCCAAGGTATCTATCAATCCAGCTTGCATGATCAGGTGCGTCAACGTCCACCACCGGTGCACTGAGGATCTTATGTTGGGCCAAAATTTGAACAGCTTCAGCTAGACTGCTATCCGATTTTATCTCAATTACTGAATAACATCACTTCAAAATGATCAAACGAATAAAAGCAACGTGGAAATGAAGAACATATTGGCTTCTATGAAATTCAAAAGAGCACAGAACGAGCAATTCTTCAAACCAAAAACGTACCTTGATTAAGAGGGGCAGGAGGAAAGGTAGAGACGGGGATGCTTTCAAAGCAAGCATTAAGCTTTTCAGTGGGACTGAGCTGCGGCTCTTGAACGTCCCATAAATCTTCCACTCGCATCCCCACCTTCGCCTCTGGGCTTCTCGGACTCTCCTCTGTCGCTGCCATCACCATTTTTTCTCCTCTTCTCTCTCTCCAATCACAGACTTTCCTTTTCGCTTTTTCTAAGCCAACTCTGTTCTTGAGGAATGATTTTTACGATAAATAAGTCCCAACTGAGTGAGGAATGCTAGTGTCCAACACGGGGTTTTATTTCCATGTGCTTTGATTTAATCCTGGCGGTCCAAAGTGCGGACTTTTGTAGAGGGAAGATTTGACTGAACACGTGGAGGATTCGGGTGAGAGATGACGAATTACACCTTCGATGAGGGTGTATTGGTCAACACAGATCTGCGTCATTTACGTACAGCACGCTAATGCTTATCCCATTTGTCGGATTGCAAATAAACAAACCACCTTTCTTCCTTCTTATCCCTACCTTTACTGATCACCACTGATGGGCAAATGCTAAACTGCGCCGGACCCGCACTTTGCGTCCTGCTTTGTCTTCACTTTCGTGATGCTGTGGCACCATGTCGTGGCCTCTTCATGTTCTGCCGTGGCGGTCACGCGCTCAATTTCATCATTTTTTAAAATAATATCTTGTAGAGGGCCGTTGGGTAATTTATCCATGACCCGATTTCAGCAGCTTTCGTGCAATCTCGGCCCATAGCTGAAATTCACAAACCACTTTAAAACGATATTTAATACTTATTTAGTCTATAATTAAACTTGGTTCAAATGGTTTAAATCAAGATCAACGGTTAAATAAATTGGTGAATCTTTTGAAATAAGATCAATTGTTACAGAAATTTAAACTAATTCTTCGGGTATCTTTGCTACACAAACAGGCGGCAAAGATTTTACTGCGCTTGGAATGTACGCACTCCCGTGACTCATTGTTCTGCTTTTCTACTCTGCGAGGGTTTCTCGCCATGGAATCTTCCGCTTCGTCGTTGCTCATGGCGCTTCTAAGTTTCTCGGCGATCTTCCTTCTTGTGGCTTACCGTTCCTCCTTCAAATCCGGTACTGCTTTTTCTCGAAACGCACTTTGATTTGAAATTTGCTCTTTTGTGTTCTGTTCTGTTCCGAATTTAGATAAGGAAAAATTCAGTACGCATAGTTTAATCGATCATTTTGACCTGAAGCCTCGGAAATTAGACAATTTCATGTTTTGTAATAATGCATTTGAGTCTCAGTGTTAGAATTGGTCAATCCATTAGAATAGCTTGAAGTTAGTCATGCCATAAGAATAGGCTTACTTCGTTAGTTTCCTATGAAATCGGATCTATTAGTTAATCTTTTGCCAATATAAATAGAATATGTCCTCAATAGTGTGAGGCACAGTTTTGCATAAACTTGATATGGTATCAGAGCAGAAATAAGATCCACGAGATCCATAGCCTCTGCTGTTAAACATGTCAATCCCAACAAACACAATGTCTTCTCCGTCGATCAGTCAGGTGATTAGTGTTAAGCTTACACAAGAAAATTATCTACTGTGGTCTACCCAAATCCTTCCCTACTTGCGTAGCCAAAACCTTGTTGGTTTTGTGGATGGATCCATGCCTGCACCAAGCCAGACGATCGCCGTTGAACCAAGTGAAGAAACAGGGAATCGCAAAATTATCATCAACCCTGAGTTCACAGTCTGGTACCCCCAGGACCAGCTGGTACTCAGCCTCATCAACTCATCAGTCACTGAGGAGGTTCTCAGCACGATGGTTGGAATCACCACTGCACGAGAAGCCTGGATTACGCTGGAGCGACAATTTGCTTCCACATCTCGAGCAAGAGCAATGCAGATCCGTATGGAACTCTCTACTATCCAGAAAAAGGACATGACAATTGCTGACTACTTTCGTAAAGTAAAACATCTTGGTGATACACTTGCTGCCATTGGCAAGCGAATAGAGGATGAAGAACTCATCGCCTACATGCTGCAAGGACTTGGTCCAGATTATGATCCTCTAGTCACAAGCATTACAACCAGAACAGATGTATACACTGTCAGCGACGTGTATGCTCACATGCTGAGCTATGAGATGCGGCACTTGCGTAAGGGTACATTTGAGCAACTTTCATCTGCTAACAATGTCAATAGGATATCCATTCGTGGAGGTGCCAATGGAGGTCGAGGTAGTCGCGGTCGTAGTCGTCAGTTAAATAGTGGTCATGGACAATCAAGGCGTACTGTGAACAATCCTGGACGTCAACCATCAAAGACACAAAGCAGCTCAGGCATTGTCTGTCAGATTTGTGGTAAGCCCAATCACGATGCTTTGCAATGCTGGCACAGATTTGATCAGGCATATCAAGCCGAAAATAATCTCAAACAAGCAGCTTTGGCAACTAGTGGATACACTAGTGACACAAACTGGTATGTTGACACTGGAGCCACAGATCATATCACCAATGACCTAGAGAGGCTTACCACCAGAGAACGCTACACTGGCACCGACCAAATTCAGGTTGCAAATGGCGCAGGTTTGTCTATCTCTCATATTGGGAATTCATTAATTTCTGGTTCATCTCTTGTTCTGAAACATATCCTATATGCTCCTAAAATCAATAAGCACCTAATTTCAGTACAAAGACTAGCATCTGATAATAATGCTGTTGTAGAATTTCACCCAAACTATTTTTTGGTTAAGGACCGAGTCACGAAGAAACTCCTGCTCCACGGTAGATGTAAGAATGGCCTATACGTTCTACCGCATAATTTCAGTCAAGCCTTGCTGACAGCCAAACTTTCGAAAGAACAATGGCACAGAAGGCTAGGGCACCCTGCATCTCCAATTACCATTAGAATTCTACAAGATAATAATTTAGCTATAGATACTAATATTCCCTCTTCCTCAATTTGTAATGCTTGTCAATTAGGGAAAGCACATCAATTGCCATTTGGTTCTTCTCAGCATGTATCTACAGCACCCCTTCAATTAATTCACACTGATGTATGGGGTCCATCCATTGCGTCAGTAAATAATTCCAAATATTATGTTTCCTTTGTTGATGATTTTAGTCGTTATGTTTGGATTTACTTTCTGAGATGCAAATCTGATGTTGAGTCTGTGTTCCTTCAATTTCAAAAACATGTTGAAACTATGCTAAATACCAAAATTCGCTCCGTCCAATCAGATTGGGGGGGTGAATACCATCGGTTACACAATTATTTCAAATCCACAGGCATTGAACATCATATCTCCTGTCCTCACACACACCAGCAGAATGGGTTAGTCGAAAGAAAACACAGACACATTGTAGAAACTGGCCTTGCTTTACTCGCTCAAGCCAACATGCCTCTATCCTACTGGGATGAAGCTTTCAACACAGCTTGCTTTCTTATAAATAGAATGCCCAGCCGAACCATACAACAAGACACACCACTTCATAAATTGTTTGGTAAAAGTCCAGACTACTCCATGCTTAGGGTGTTTGGCTGTGCTTGCTGGCCTAATTTAAGGCCTTACAACAACAAGAAACTGAGTTTCAGAACTACTAGATGTATATTCTTGGGTTATAGTTCTTCTCATAAGGGATATAAATGCTTAAATAGAAGTACAGGACGTATTTACATCTCTAGAGACGTGGTTTTCGATGAAAATATTTTTCCTTTTGAAGAATCTAAGCCACCAAACAAAACCACAAATCCACATCATCCTGTTCTACTTCCAGCCTTAGCCAAACTTGCTAGTTTTTACACTGAAAATGCTCTTACAGATATTGAACCAGTTGTTAGTAATTCCCATATGAATGATGGTCAAACTGATAATATTGCTAGTGACAACTTGTCTGGTGTCAGCTTATCTTCTGCAGATAATACAAGAAGTTCAGAGGAAATTGCAGAATATGAAGCTGAGAGCAGTTCGATCAATGCTCAAAACCAAACTCATGAACATGTGTCTGATCAACCAACTGAAGCAGCTAGTCAACATCCAATGCGAACAAGGTTGAGAAATAACATTGTACAAGCTAAACAATTCACTGATGGAACTATCAGATATTCAGAAACCTCAAGAAAATTCGCAAGCGCTGTAACTATCACAACTCCGATCATAGAGACTGCTACTGAACCTCGAAACCTGCAGGAAGCCATGCAACATCCAAGATGGAGAGGAGCAATGAATGATGAGCTCTCAGCGGTAAAACAAAATGCCACTTGGGATCTAGTTCCACCCAAACCTGGAATAAATCTCATTGATAGTAAATGGGTGTATAAAGTGAAAAGAAAAGCAGATGGGTCAGTTGAAAGATTAAAAGCAAGATTAGTTGCCAAAGGATTCAAGCAAAGATTTGGTGTTGATTACACTGATACTTTTAGCCCTGTGATCAAACCGTCAACAATCAGGGTCATTCTTTCGCTAGCAGTAACCAAGGGCTGGAATATGAGACAAGTTGATATCCAAAATGCATTTTTGCATGGAATTCTGAAAGAGGAAGTGTACATGCGACAACCACCAGGATTTCAAGACTCAGCCAAACCAAAGAATTACATATGCAAGCTCAAGAAAGCCCTTTATGGCCTGAAACAAGCCCCAAAAGCTTGGCATTCAAGGTTGACTGGAAAACTTATTGAGTTAGGCTTCAAGGCTTCAGTAGCTGATTCATCTCTTTTTATTCTCAAAAACAGAGAGATAACTATCTATATGCTCATCTATGTTGATGATATAATTATTGTGAGCTCCTCTGATCAAGCAACCGAAAGGTTGATTCAGAAATTGAAAATAGATTTTGCAGTAAAAGATTTGGGTGATCTTGAGTATTTTCTGGGTATTGAAGTCAAGAAAACACGAGATGGTATCATACTGTCACAGAGACGATATGCTTTAGATTTGTTGAAAAGAGTAAACATGGAAAAATGCAAACCTATGTCTACACCAATGGGTTCTGCTGAAAAATTATTCAGAGAACAAGGAATACCCTTATCAGCTGAAGAACAATTCAAATACAGAAGTACAGTGGGAGCACTACAATATTTGACAATGACTAGGCCTGATTTGGCATTTGCTGTCAATAAAGTGTGTCAATATCTTCATACACCTACTGATGCTCATTGGGGTGCTGTGAAGAGA